CGGTACAGGTGGGGATTCCCATTTTCCCTCACCGCGACTCTAAGGGGCTCCACTCACACCATCTCCACGATCAAGGATGTCCCGGTGTTCATACGGGACCTAGAACTTACCGAAGTCCGGATCCAAGATTGGTATGGCCCGATCCACACCCCTAACATGCCGAGACAACAGCAAAGACCTCACTGGCAACAGTCACCGAAGAGGAGAAGACCAAATCACACGGACCGGCCACCAGAAGAACACACGCAAAACTCTACACTAAACCGCCACTAGACAACATGACACTCCCTACATTAGCCCAGAGACATTGTATGGTCACCGCTGTGCTTCTTCCAGTCTCCACGACGCCCTCAGATCTAGCCCTCTGAAACACCCCTACACCTCACCTTGATGCTGACAGGGCACCGACTCAATGACATGAACCGGACTAATCCACGAAACCACGCTGACTACACCGGAAGATACATCTCGACACTAACCGGGAAGAAAACCGTTACAACAAGCACGCAAGCTCTGTACTCCCTGGAATACCCATTGTTTTCCCTTCCCTCATCTCAGCCCGACAGGACACCCCTACCCCATCAAGATTACTGCAACTCCAACCACCGAACTGACGACGCTTACACCCACAACCCTCAGCGATCCCTGTTACAGACTGCCATTTGTAACTGTTATTTTATTTGACAAATTGCCCTGCTGCCCTGTGTTATGGAGAAGCCTAATTGCCAGCCTTCTGCCCCATGACTATGGACCTAGTGGGTATGGAGATTTGACTGTATTTGTGGGATCTGAGCGCTGTTTGGATATATTGAGCGCTCAGATCCAAGCCATCTGGGGATAGGTTGAATGTGGGGGTTCTGTTCAGTATGATAGGAGTTAGGTATTTATGTGTCTTTTTGTGTCTTTTGCTAACATGTTGTTAATGGAGTCTGCCTCTATCCCTGGATATAAGTGGATTATTTTCCCCATTGTCTCCTGGATAGAGGGCTCTGTAAAACCGGTTTGGGCCAGATAACCATGCTGCCAGCCAGGCCCCAAAAGATACTTTTGCTAACTTTTGAACCCCTTGTCTGATTTGTGCCATTTTTTAATGAAGATTGGATGTGTAGTTTGAAAGTTATAGTACATGTATAAAAATTGTATTTTTACTGCCTGTGTTTAATTATGTTAACCCATTGTGTGCCATAATTTGATCACAGGCAGAGGGGAGGATTTTTGTGTGTAATTGCTGGGAGTGTTTCTGTAATGTACGTTTATGATTGGTTATTCTGTAAACCCCTGTGGGTGGTCCTATCTCAGGGAAACCTGCATAAAAGAAGGCCCTTTGGTGCCAAGTAAACAGATCTTCTTGACCCTCAATACGTAGCCTTGTCTCGTTATTGGAGGGAACTGCTATATCACACTGGGGATTGCTATGCTCTGCATACTCCCCTGAGCTTTTAATCACTTAGCTCTTTTAAGAGCTGTTCCTGTTACGCTCTCCTGGAGGAGAGGTCTTCCCCACACGGTCCTGGAGGACAGAAGCTGATCCAGGGTGGAAGGAAGACGGCGAGACTCCAGTTAAGCTACGGCGGTTGTGGAGTCTGCGGTGGTTGTGGTGTCTGCTGCAGTGTTTGGAGTCCTCAGGAAGCGCTAGGAGCATCCATCAACGGAGGGTACTCGGTCGGAGTACAGGGAGCTCCGTTACATTGATGGCAGCGGTGGGATGGCGTCCTAGTGCGAGGAGAAACAGCTCGGAGACACCGGAATTATTATGGAGCGATATGGAGCCAGCAAGTCCCTGGACAGCGCTCAAAGTGGAGGATGAGTTCGACTGGAGGTTACAGAGCCTCTTGGCCTCAGTGGGTGAGCCAGTATCAGAGGCAACCAGGTTGGACTGCAGAGAGGGCGCCAGGAAAGAGATGTGGGATGAAGCCTTGGAGGGTGTCCAGCGTTGGCGAGGTGAGCGTCTCCCCAGCGAGGAGCAGCGACTACAGGCCCGAGTGGCCCTATGGATGCCTATGATGGGAGAACAGCCCAGGTGGGAGTTGGTAATGCAACTTAATTCTCTGGCATGGAAGGAACTGGGGCTTGAAGATGCATACCAGGCACTACATTGGTATGCAGTTCAGCGTGTTCCCGGGATGGCTAAGTGCGACAGACCAGAGGGCGAGGATTACAATGGCCCTGACGTATTATGGTACGCCTGTACCGGACCAAGGTTCGGGGATGCTGCAGAGTCACGGCTATGGGACATATATGAATCCAGAGAAACCATTCTAGATCTCCCTATGGATGAAGACCTAGAGCCAGACCTGTTTGAATTGGCCATCCAGGAATGGGAACTGGAACAGGATTACCAGTGCCTACTCAGCTCCAGTCAGTCCCAGTATACCTTGGAGGTACCACCAGGGCAGTGCAAGTTACAGGGAGCCGAAGGTGTCGTCCTTCCTCCCCAGCGGCAGTGCAAGTTACAGGGAGCCGAAGGTGTCGTCCTTCCTCCCCAGCGGCAGTGCGAATTCCAGGGGGCCGAAGGTGTCGTCCTTCCCCCCCAGCAGCAGTGTGTCCTACAGGGAGCAGAGACAGTTGGTCTCTCTCTCCAGCAGCAGGACAATGTTATGGGAGTGGAGACAGGCGGTCTCCCTCTCCAGCGGCAGCCTGTGTTTCAGGGAGAGGAGCACAGCACCCTATCTCCCCAGCGGCAGCTTACCCTACCAAGGGGAGACACCAATCTCCCAGATGGCGCAGATGGGACCGTGGTCTCTGTGCCTGACCTACAGGGATGCTGGACAGCCTGTCCAGATCCCCAACTACCCTCACAGGGACAACAGGAAGAGGGGGTAAGTACGAATTCCCCTCCCCAGCTAACTCCTAACTGGGCCCCAGGGTTAACAGAGGAGATGTTAACCCCCACTGACTCCCATGTTCCCCTGGCTACTGAGCCGGACTATGTTCCCAGCACCCCAGCGGAAGAGCTGGCAGCCGGGCAGAGTGCAGTCGGCCTCTGCCCTCCCTTTGTCCCTTGTCCAGAGCCTGATGTCCTGCAGGCTATACCAGCGGAAGAGCTGGCAGCTGGGCAGAGTGCAGTCGGCCTCTGCCCTTCCTTTGTCCCTTGTCCAGAGCCTGATGTCCTACAGGCTATACCAGCGGAAGAGCTGGCAGCTGGGCAGAGTGCAGTCGGCCTCTGCCCTCCCTGTGTCCCTTGTACAGAGCGTGACATTCTGCCTGCTACCCCAGCGGAAGAGCTGACATCAGGGCAGAGCGCTGCTGGCCTCTGCCCTACCGACCCCCTTGTTACAGGACTGGTCTGCAACCCCCTCTCCCCAGCAGAAGTGCGGGCATCAGGGCAGAGCGCCGCTGGCCTATGCCCCCCAAGTACCACCAGCTATTTGCCCAGCTGCACCAGGAAGGCAGAGGATGCTGCATTTTCATCCTACAACCTGGAACCTACAGGCCAGTACTGTTTATTGTGGGGGGGCTACTTTGCTACTTGTTATTTGTGGGTGGGTTGCGAGACTAACTTAGGCACTGACTGACAGAAGGTCAGGTGCCTGGTTAGTCTCCCTCCAAAAGGGGAGATATGTTACAGACTGCCATTTGTAACTGTTATTTTATTTGACAAATTGCCCTGCTGCCCTGTGTTATGGAGAAGCCTAATTGCCAGCCTTCTGCCCCATGACTATGGACCTAGTGTGTATGGCGATTTGACTGTATTTGTGGGATCTGAGCGCTGTTTGGATGTATTGAGCGCTCAGATCCAAGCCATCTGGGGATAGGTTGAATGTGGGGGTTCTGTTCAGTATGATAGGAGTTAGGTATGTATGTGTCTTTTGCTAACATGTGGTTAATGGAGTCTGCCTCTATCCCTGGATATAAGTGGATTATTTTCCCCATTGTCTCCTGGATAGAGGGCTCTGTAAATCCGGTTTGGGCCAGAAAACCATGCTGCCAGCCAGGCCCCAATAGATACTTTTGCTAACTTTTGAACCCCTTGTCTGATTTGTGCCATTTTTTAATATGTTGCTCCCCTGAATGGATTGATTCTAAATATGTAGATTGGATGTGTAGCTTGAAAGTTATAGTACATGTATAAAAACTGTATTTTTACTGCCTGTGTTTAATTATGTTAACCCATTGTGTGCCATAATTAGATCACAGGCAGAGGGGAGGATTTTTGTGTGTAATTGCTGGGAGTGTTTCTGTAATGTACGTTTATGATTGGTTATTCTGTAAACCCCTGTGGGTGGTCCTATCTCAGGGAAACCTGCATAAAAGAAGGCCCTTTGGGGCCAAGTAAACAGATCTTCTTGACCATCAATACGTAGCCTTGTCTCGTTATTGGAGGGAACTGCTATATCACACTGGGGATTGCTATGCTCTGCATATTCCCCATAGCTTTTAATCACTTCCTGTTCCTGTTACGCTCTCCTGGAGGAGAGGTCTTCCCCACACGGTCCTGGAGGACAGAAGCTGATCCAGGGTGGAAGGAAGACGGCGAGACTCCAGTTAAGCTACGGCGGTTGTGGAGTCTGCGGTGGTTGTGGTGTCTGCTGCAGTGTTTGGAGTCCTCAGGAAGCGCTAGGAGCATCCATCAACGGAGGGTACTCGGTCGGAGTACAGGGAGCTCCGTTACAATCCCTTACTCCACGAACTCAAACTGAGCAGCCCACAGCACTGTACTGACTCCCGATGACGATAGGAACTGAAAAATTCGGAGCTCGGGGCGCACAGGAGATAAGGCTGAAAAATCTATACTCAGCAGCTTACATCACCTACAATGACTGTTCCAAGGTACTCAGATCCCTCCAAACTCAGATGGGTGAGCAGAGACCTCCATGGGCTTACCCTTCCTCCCATGGCCCTTCCCTCCTTTCCGCCTTCCCCAGTCTGTTCCCCTAGACCCATCACCCTACACCTTACCTCCATTCTCTGCATTCTCTTCCCTACCCTTTTGACCTCCATACCCTTACCTATCTCCTGCCAATTGGACACCCCACACACCAGATGGCTACCCGCTAAGAGGTACGCCTTGATATAATTTGATACAAAGGTTTCAAAGGTCTCACAGCGCTCCTTACGTAGACCAGGAGAGGCATGTTTTTACAATTTAACGTTACATACGGATGTATACTGCCTGCTGAAGTACAGATTCTGAGGACCGACCACAGACTCGACGTACCATCCCCCTCCTGACGACCACACACTCTCACTCCCACCCCCCCCACACAGGACCGTTTCCCCCCTCAAGACCGGGTTTAATATATAGACCATCCTAAGACCCATCTGACGATCAGGGAAACCCGGGTGACGCATCGGGATGGAGATTGACAGTACCCAAACCACATCACAACAAACATGCTAAATCTCACTAACTCTGGTAAAACAGTGAAACACCACCTAGCACTCTCTCTAC